CGTAAGGGCGAATTATGGATATACCATGATCGTTCAGTTGAGTATTTATGAAAAGAAAGCTAAAGAAAAATCCCTTTATGATCGAGGCCAGGGCCGCAGCTGATTTGGCAGCAGGACGCCCTCTATGTTAGATACTAGTATATCGCGCCCCAAACCAAACATTTTATTTTATTTATTTATATATTTACAAATTATGAACACAGCAATTGGCATATTTTTAGATTTGAAATTCCTAAAACTACATCATGTCAAATTCACCCTTTACCTCGGGTTTAGTGTTTTTATTGTCAGGTTTAGTGTTTTTCGACAGGTTTAGTGTTTTTCGACAGGTTTAGTGTTTTCCAGGGTTTCCACTCAACGTGAAGGACGGTTGACATATCCAGAAATGGTATTGTGACATCATCATAAGTTCTAGCTAATATTAATAAGAAAGCAGAATTGAGTTTTTTTTTGTGTCAATAGTACAACTTTAAAATAAACAGTTATGTCATGACATGACAGAGTCCCTGTTAATAAAACTGAAATGAGCCAGCTATTTTGAATCAGAACTTGAAACAAATGACATGATGTATAATGTAGTTGTAAAGTTTTAAAGTTCATTGTATGTACTTAGATTGGCAATAGCTATCTACGTACATGTACATTTGTATAACCAAGATCTGGCACCAAAATGGCAGAAATGCTTGATTTTGATGCATTTTAGCATAAAAATTACCACCATTCAAACATTTTGAATTAGATTATATGAAACTAATGGACATGCATATGCATCCCAAGATGTATGATGTATGTGTGCAGTATAAATATGATCAGCCAAGACATGTCCGAGATAGAAGTAGGCATGCACGGACGGATGCACAGAAGTCAATCTGTAAGTCAATCTGTAATTTTCAGACTGTGTCCAAACAGGGACTGATAAGCATGTATGCATGCTAAAAACACACCAGTACCACCAACCTACTTATCCCTAAAACAATGTGCAGTTCAACCACTTTATAGCGTGTGGCCAATACTTTATTTATTGATGGAACTATGAATATCAATCATATTTTTGACAGTAGGTTTGGAATGATAATTTTTTTATCATATCTATTAATTGATATAAAATCAATAAATATTAAAGTTTTGTTGTTTAGAGTCGTATTTGATTTTTTGAAAATAAATATGCCCTATTAACACTGAAGTCGAAGGTCTTGGAACATTTATTGAGCGCATTATTCGATAATTAAATAGTCATGCGGCTAACTTACCCGTATTAGTGCATCTACTGTGTAGGTGTGAAGGTTTAGTTTTGACGAGAGTTCTGTTAAGTGATTGAATTCAACTTACCACGACATTGATCATTTTTCTTGGGGCAAAACAAAAGAAGCTGTCTCACTCACTCGCAGCGAACTTCTACTTCCTTGTCAAGTCGTTGCACAGTGAAGTAACAGGCCAAGTCTTCCTCCACTAATTCAACTTCCCGCACGTCTCTTCATTTGTAAACATCCCCATCGTGCAAACTAAAATACACATAGAATACTTCCTATTAAATGACAGTGGTCAACATAATAAACCTAATCACCTGATTTTCAGAAAATCAGCGAAGGCTTAAAAATAGACCACGTAGCTTGTCAATTATTATGTCAAAATGAAATTTATAAATAGTTATTAACAATCGGATATATAATACCAACAACTGACATCAGTAATGATACATATTGATGTTGATGCATGTAGTGTCTGAGTTAGTTGACATAAACGGAAACAACACCCATCTCTCTGTTTTCAATCTCTTTCGTTACTGGCTTAAAGGGCATTGGAGTCCCAGAATTCAATTCGTATAACTCGACGTATACTTCCGGGATTCTGGCGTCTGGACATTTTCTGTTTTTATTGGGCATATTTTCATAGTTTCACCAATATGCATTGGTTTGAAGGTGATATATCGTCGGCTATAGCTAAAGCGAAGCAGACAAAGGCGGTTTTTGTAATTTTTATAAAAGGTAAGATGGCTACCGCAGCTTCATCAAAGAAGATCACATCACTGGCATGGTAATTGGTTTGTCGTTCTAAACGCAACATGTTCAGTGTTCTGTGTTTTAAATTACAATCATGTGAATGTTAAATTCTAGATTTATGTCTATTTTATCCGGCTTCCAAGGATATAATCTTGATATAATCTTGTGGACTCAACACTGTCTCTAGATGCACAGGTAGCCCAGGAAATATGATAGTCTTCTGATGGGTGTACTAGGATTGGTGTTCTATGTCCGTACGTATTTTTTGGGGGTGGGGTGGGGCGAAATCTCCATGATCCCCTCACCCTCACTGTAAGCACATATTCGACGATTAACATATTGGCAGTTCATTGTATCACTGATAAATAAGAACTTGTCAAGTAACAGCCAATCCAAATATCTATCTGATATGCCCTGCTACCAATACCATCTTTTCAAGTTTTCTGAACTTTCCCTGTGGTTGGTTCAAGCAAGAAAGGTGGAATGTTTTACAGATACTAGGTAGAACACCACTGAAAGGTAAAAATCATATGAAAATTGGTGCTTACAAGTCTTAGTGGGGGATTTGGATTATAACACGATCTAAATCCAACGTTAAGCCTATAAACGTTCCATTGTTTTTAGTGCCAAACCCCTTTGTTAAGTACAACAACAAATATTTCGTTGGTGTTTGTGA